TTAAAAACAAAATGAAACACACATTAACGATAATAATAAAATTTAGACATTAATTTATTATGAAATTTCGTTGTATGGCGAAAATTTGTAATTGAATGGCTGAACACGATAACGGTATAAGTAACATTTTATAAATTCTGAGTAAAACGTGTGTATTTTAAGCTATATTTCAGTGGCAATGTATTTTCGCGATTTTAATGAACAACTGAAATGCCGTGGTTTTATTAATGAAACAAAGCACTAATGCTTACAGTAATATTGACTCAAAGAGATTTCTCTGAGTTTATAAGTTGTCACCTATACCGTTCTAGTTTTTACTCATTCCGTTTATACAATTAATTGTTAAGGTAAGTATTTTGTCTATCCTTAATGTCGCTCAAAAGCATTATCGATGTATTAAAAATTATTATCCAGATTTAAGCCGTAACGCTCTCGCTTTCCAAAACTCTACCGCAACTGTACGACTATTACACGTATAATATTTCCTCTTTTACGAAAGTATGTTTTATTTTATTTACCGTTTACCAAAAATATTAATGTCAAATACACTTACGTTGCAACACTTTCTAGTAATTTATGCATTGTGACGAGGTTAGCGAAACGAAGATATGATAATTTGATGCAAAGATTGCTGCAGCCATTACGAAAAATAATTCTCCTCGGTGCTGTAGAAATCTGTGCGGAGACACCGTCAAGGTAGAGCCAATCCGGGAGAGCATTTTGGGAAGGCGGAGGCCGAAACGAGTTTCGCATCGGAGACGCTAGGCCGCGCCCCGCTCCGCTCCGCTCCAGCGGCTCCCAACGCAAGTTGTGCAGCGCGCCTGACACTCAGCCCTCAATGAAGACGCGAAACGGAGGCGGAGGCGGTGACGTGGAGGCAGAGATGCAGGCGGGAGGGTGGAGGTGAAAGTGGAGGCGGTGGCGGGTGCCACGGAGGTGGTCGCGGAGGCGTGGGGTGCGGAGGTGGAGGTGGAGGCGGAGGTGGAGGCGGAGGCGGAGGCGGTGGTGGAAGAGGCGAAGGTGGAGGCGGAGGTGGTGGCGGAGACGGTGACGGAGACGGTGACGGAGGCGGAGAAATTGTAGGCGGAGGAATTGGAGGCGAGGACGAAGGCGGAAGAGGAGGTAGAAGTTGCGTGGAGGCGGAGGTAGCGGTGGAGGCGGCAGGGGTAGGTCGCGCCAGTTTTGTTTCTTCACTTTCTTCCTCGCTTCCTCCTCCACCCGCTCCCACCCTCAGCCCACCTGGCGGCCGGCGTCGAGCACTCCGCTTGCTTTACTGCTTTTCCTTCCAGGAACTTGCGCAACTTTTGCGTATCGCGGCCTCTTCTACTGGCGCCTCATTATGCGTCATTCGATGCGTCATTTATCGATGTCCCTTCTCGGCCATCCAAACCGACAATAGTCCGAAAACAACCACTGCTATGCCTCCGCCCATCCATCCGGCCTTTTGCCATCCTCGATTTTTCCACCGGCTTAGGCGACTCTCGCTAACGACTCTATATTGCCTCTCATTGGTAGGTCGTAGTGTTCGAATCCCGACGGTGGTGACAGGTGTGCGACACTAGCTACATGGCTGGGTCGAATTCAATCGCTGTCTGTAGAAGTAGACTAGACGCTGCTTGCTCTCGTAGGTAGGAAATTGTCCACGGGTTTTCAAATCAACACTGAATGAATGGAGGTGAATGGCGGAGCACTATCCTGACAAACGGCCCACGGCCCACGCACGAACTTCCCTTCCTCTTCCACGTTCAATTACTTACATACACTCACACTTACATGCTTTACACTACCATTCATGTTGGAAGACTAGTCCGGAAGCACAGTCTAGCTAAGGCGATGTCTGGCAGGTAGGAGATACCCGGCAGGGAAAAACCCGCAATACATGTAGGTCAGCGCCAGATCTTCCAACCCAGAGGCGGAATGTCACTGTCACATCCCGCGAGAAAACTTACAGAATAATAACCTGAGCAGTCGGAATGCACTCGGAAACACTAATCTACCAAGTGACTTTCCGATCGCCATCCCCTTCACAGTTCATCCCACCTCGCTCTACTGTCCCCTTATTTGCTCTCCGATTCTATCTCTCCGCTTCCTCTTCTCCCCACCACACCGTCATCCGCCTCTCTGCCCTGTCTTATTCCGTCTTCTATCCGTCCTCTTAGCTGCGGTCTTTGGCCCTCTCTTCTGGTCGTCCTCTTCGTCGCCAAACCTCTCTGAACGTCTATTATACTATGTACTACTTTACCCACTCACGAATTTCTCTAACCCATTTAATCAACACTTTCTCCGCACTCTCCGCTTTCACCTCATTCCTCCATTATTGATACTCTGCTCTTTCCACTTTTATCACTTTGGTGAATACATTCAACTTTTATACCAAGTATATTAAGAGACATCAGGCAACCAAGAAGCTTCTTTCATTTTCTTTCAACACGTTCGCTATGCGAAACCCAAACATTGAAGAATTACAAATGTTACTGTTTCTTCTTGGTTAATGATGCTGGTGAAAGGCCCTGATGCCCTCCGTCTTATCCACTCTCTTTACCATCGGCGTCATCGCTAACTCTGCCATGGAAGAGCCGACTCTATTTCCACCATTCCTCTCCTTCCATCCATCGCGTCCGTTCTTCCCTCCACGAGACGAAGTTCCCTGGCGTCGCGTCGCTGCCCTCGCGCCCTTAACCTGTCCTCTTTCGTGTTGCACGTCCCCCCCCCCGCCCCAGATACTTTTGACGCTCGCCGCTGCGCGCTGGCGACCCATCACGGCCAAGTGGACTTCTTGGAACACGAGAAGCAGGTACACAAAGTTCTCTCTTTCGTTATTTGGACGCTACTCCGCTTTCGTAGCCAAGATTGTTACGTGTTTCTTCAAGTGGCTAGTCGTCCGTTGTAAAAAAATAGACGAAGAAGTTTTGTCCATGATGCATTATTGAATTTGTCAAAACATTACTTGTTTCTTGATCAATGTTTTCTTAAAATTTTCATTGTCAATCAGTGTTCGATCTACGGCTGCCAAATCCTACCTATAAGCGATTACTATTAACCGCTGAAATTTAGCATTGAGGGTAACATCTATACATCAGTTTGACAGACTCTCAATAAGGCTATCAACGGACTGGGTTGATCCACGAGAGCGACGTGTGGCATTTCGGCGGTTCATAGCTCAGTCACTTTCAGTCAGCAGACTCTCATCTATTATTTCATGACCACTCCAGTTCGTCCTCTAGCTCCTCCTACTACAGTAGTCTCTTAGTGGTTCCGTTTCCACCGCCCCTGCTGTGCGAGGGCGTTTCTGCTCTACTTAAACCATCACACTTTCTCCTAACATAAGGCCTAAAAGTATTTGTTAATTGCAATTAATATCTTACCTATAATCTTGTGATTTTTGTATTGTGTTGTTTAATGTCGCTACTTATATTGGTTCATCACTTGTGGCGATTTTGTCTTTAGTTTATTCAAATGTCATTCTCGTACACATTTTCAGAATTTATTTAAACCTACCAAATTACCAGAACCTATTATGACATTGGTATACAGTTTTCGACAGAAAATTCAATCGTCCACTTATGTAACATTTGTTTTCAGGTAAATATTTGCTTAAAATAGTGCTTTCATGGATTTGTTCAGAGAGAGATAAATTAATTGTAATATATTTAAATGAAACGTTCAAACAAAGATCGCCTGGAGCAGTAATATAATATGGGCACGCAGTAACAAATATTACATCATGAACGTATCTTTAATAAACGATATAGTGCAATGACAACAACAAAAATTATGAGAATGTGAGGAAGATAATGAGTATAAAGTTTTACATTTCTATTGTTATATGAAGAGTTGAAAGCAAGTGAAAACCTTAAACAATTACAATCTAATGTCAACAAAATATTTTCACATATTGTATAATATTAGTTCTGAAGAAACCATAAGCGATATTTGAGAACATGAGATTCCCCTGCAGACCAATTCATTGATATTAAAATGAGTTTTTCGGAGTCCGGAAAAGGCACGTAACACTATGCAGAGGTATAGAGGGGATTACATCCATTATTAGTATAATGTGAGCTCTGCCCCTCATCATCGCTCGTGTATGAAACCAATCCCTTCTTTTTTACTGTAATATTTCTACAAAGCCTCAACACTACAGTTTTGAAAAAGAGTGTATAAAAATCAATAAAAACAACAAAATGGAAAGTACCACATTGTTTACCCTTTCGTTGGAAAGTGGACTCGGCAAGACGTCGTATCCTCGATCAATTCTGGATCACCTAGCGCTTCGAATAAAAGAGACGTCCGTCACGTTGGGGAGGGAGAAGGACGAGACAGTCGCACGAAAGCGCGGAAGGAGTAGGGCAGTCACCGCTGCGCCGTCGAGTGAAATGTGAAGCGCGCACAGATGAAGAAAGTTTCCGCGAGGTTCCCCTCCTCCTTCCCTCCCTCTCCCTCCTCCCCCAGTAGCCGTCTTCCATCCAGCAACTTGGCTCCCTTGTTAAGTCTGCAAGCTTTCCGCAAACCACGGCTACCCATTCGGTGGCGCGCTTAATGTTGATTTTTGTTCGCAACAAGAAATAATAAAAAAAAGCAAAAAACTTCTGCTCTCGTCCGCCCGGCCGACATCCCGTACGTGACTCGAACTTGCTATTTCATTTCTCGCGCGAAGATTCGGCGCTCGTGGGCCAGTCTGTGCGAGTTGTTCGTCGAGGCAATTATTGTCTGTTCGAACGAGATTTACTGTGCCGCGATCGCGAACACCCGCTGAGTTAAAGATCGATTTATTTTATTTATTTGTTCGAGAAGCCACTCTTCGCTTAACTTGGCGACGTGTGATTGAATTGGGTATCGTGCTTTCGGGTGAATCTTAAAGACGTTATCTTTCACCCAGGCACGAGTTGCAGAAAGATTCGCTAAGTTGGTGCAATTACTAGACACTCTGGGAACGAGGATTGGATTGGATGAAACTTGGATTGCACTTTTATCGCTATGTGAACAACTCTATCATACCTTAGTTGCTGCGAGCGTAGCGTTCTCCTCAGGATTCTGAAAAGAAGAGAAAATCATATAACTTAAAAAAACATATCTTCCATGCTAGCATTTAATATCATAATGGATCAAACAATACATTCATTAAAAATATCATTTTTATTGCCATGAAAACATATATTTATAAGTAGCACAAGTTGACAACGATCTTGTTCAGTAAAGTTATAGATTTTTTACAATTTAATATAGCTAACAGTAAAAAAATATGAAATTTATTTACGAAATTAAAAAAAATAATTCGCAGTTATTTTCATTAATTGGTAATCAGTATTTTTCCAAACATATTGTCTCTTGAATTACAGAGGTGTATAAACGAAAAATCAAATAATGCTTCTATTTTTTCGTAAGATTACCTGTGTCCATACGCCCATTTTTTCGAAAACCGATCAAAGCATTCAATGTTCTGAAACGCTGTTTACAAATGATATGTTATTATAGCACAAACATTTGAACGCGCAACACCGTTTTCGTTCCAGAATCTTCGACCGAGCGCTCCGAAACACATCATAAATTTCACCCCAATAATCTCGATGGCGTATCTGGGCCAACTGGGTACTTCAAAAGGAATATGAAATATCCCTCCGTCGGTTCACAGCGCGCATCCCACGAACCCGAAAGCCACTTCCTTGATCCGACAACGGCGTCACGCAACGCTTCACCATCTCATTACTGCGTCCGCCTGCGCGGCCAGCCCAGGCCCGCCCCTCCGCCATCCACCCGCTATATTCTCCCCATTCACCCCATCCACTCGTCGGTTCTCCACAATCCACCCGCCCTATCAACCCGCCGCCCCTCCACCCCATTCACCTGTCGCCTCTCCACGATTTACACGCCCCATCCACCCCATTCACCCGTCGGTTCTCCACCAATCCCACACGCTCCACCTACCCATCCACCCATCGCCCTCCACCCCATCCACCCGCCCCCTCCATCATCCACCCGCGGCCCCTCCACCTTCCATCCGACGCCAACCCACCCACCACCTCTTCACCATGCTCCCACCGCCTCGTCACCTGGCACCCGCCCCGTTCAGCCATCCTCCTGCCGCCCCTCCACTATCAACCCGCTCTTATCACCCTATCTTACCGCTTCCTCTTCACCCACCATTCCGCCCCTCCTCCCGTCGCTCCTCCACCATCCACCCGCCGCACCGCGACTCTCCCCCGCCCCAACCACTCCTCACACGCTACGCTTCACCATCCTCCCCCGCCGCTATTGTCCTGTTAACCTCCAACCCCTACCCATCAACCTCACCATACCAACTGCTCCGCTCTGCCAGCCAAGCACCGTCCATCCACTCTCCACGCGCCACACCACCTCTATCAACCCGCTGCGCCGCTCTGGGCGGTTTCACCACGGCCCGCTCTCCCTGCCTCCTTACCATTTTCCAACTGAATTCTCCGCTCACCACGCCCGGCCCTCCCCGTTCCACCATCCCATCCCCACACCGCACTAACCATTTCCTCCCCCGCTCCTCGGATCATTCCGACCACCACCCCCACCCTTCGCTTGCCCTCCCCCCAGCCGGTCCGTGTCGCAACGTACTGCCCCGGGCCACCTTTGTCCATTCTCGTTCCGTTCCACCTTTTACCACTCCCCCCGCCTAATCCATCGCGGTCAGTCTCGCGCCGTACTGCTCGCCTACATGTTCCTCCCCTAACCAAGTCGTTTCGACCGGCTAACTTCGTCTCGCCCCTCAATTCCTTCCCCGACATTTTTTTCCTCCACACGTTGCTCCATCTCGTTTGACGTCCTCTGCTTCGATCCTTCTGCCTCCCCACCCCGCTCTGTCGACGTGCCCTTCTCTGTCCCAGCTAGTTCCGCCCGTCCCCGTCCCGACCTGCACAAATGACCCGCTCCCCTCCGTCTCGACACCCCCCCCCCATCATGTCTCAGGCCCCTCCGTTTCTCTTCGTCCCACCCTGCGGGTTTCCATGCTCTTTCGCCTATCCCCGCGCGGTCATACGCTGCACATCTACTGCGTTTCTCTTCGTCTTCAATCTTCAAACACGTTGACATGTCAAGTTTCCGCCAATCCTCTACTTTTTGATTTAAAACGTCCGCTTCACTTAATATTTTTGTACATATTTACTATGAGATATAACTTAAATGTCTTCCAGCATTTTTAGGAACTCACAATAAACGTAATTTCCAATCAATGCTATACTTACTGTTGTTGAATTGTCAAACATTTAATATTTACAAAACTGTCAAAAGCACTGGTTGGCGAATAAGATAGACATGTAAGTATATATTTTAAAAAATTAGAAATATCTGGTCGTGAGGTAAAATTTTTAAGTCTATATATAAACCTCCCTGCTTAAAAACATTTATCCTGCGGCCTCAGAAATATTGCTACAAAGATCTAGTTTGTCATGAATACGCTTATTCCGTCAATTGCCATAAACTACTGGGTTGTCTTCAAACAATATCTTTCTAAAGTAAAACAATATTGGGAGTAAACTGGTTATTCATCAATAAAAATAATTCTTTGCATCAAATTATGAATGTAATAACGAGATGAAGACCGAATGGCTTGTCATTATCTTCGATAATCTAAGCCAAGAATTGCGTAACTACATTTTTCATGTATTGCATTTGTTTCTTCTCAACAATAACCGCCCGATCACGATTCCAATATACAGATAGCATTCTTGCATGCCGAACATCATCCTATTTTAACAGCTCCTCAAAATCATGGCGATCCGCCTTGCAGCGATGAACTGCTCGCATTGTACCTCTGGAAAATGCCGATTAAATTCCTGATCCCTACATGGGGACGTTTTGACGGACATTGAGATCAACCCGCTCGTTGTGAAGTTTATCCCAGGCCCCGGCGCCAATCCGGTCCTCTCGTGAGTAGCTGCCACTCAACCGCCAACGCGTCCTTTAATCCCGCCCACTCGGGCCTTGTCGCCTTCGTCCTTAATGCAACGCGCCGCTCCTCCAGCCCACGCGACCTTCGGGACGCGACCCGCGCAAGACGCCCACTCGCTCACGGGGCGCGCGCGCGTCGCCCGCGTGAGCAATCCCATTATACATTTACGGGGATGCAAATGGGAAATTCAATTTCCAAGTTACGCCAGATTTACATACCCTGCCTTATGTTTGGTTCGGAATTAATGTAACAGAAAAAATGATTAAAAGAGCAGAAAGAAAAATGCTAATGTGAAGAAGTACAAAATTGTGATTGGTATAACAGTTTTTAATTCCTATAAATATTTGAATGGAAAATTGCATTTCTCAATTTTTGCATGAATTTATTATCACTATTATTTTGTATCTTGTGAACTATGTATGTGAGCATGAAATAATAATAATAATAATAATAATAATAATAATAATAATAATAATAATAATAATATATTTACTCTTCAATCATAGTTTTTAGAATTGTATTTCGAAAACGTTTGAGATTTTTTCGTTCATCCTCTACTCAAATGAACCGTTCTGTCACTAAGCAAGCAATTAATAATAGAAATTAGCTTATCCGCCTGATTTCTATTAAATACAAAATAGACAGATGTGAAATGCAAAAACAACAAAATATTATCAGCCATTTTGTTGGTCCGTGTAATGATCTCCATTGTTGAATCTTATAGTGCCATTTAAGAAGTAGTCCTAGATCATCTGCTTATTAGAATGGAAATCTGTCATTTGAAATTCCAAATGACTCATACGAATGCGACCCACATGTTGCGCATTTGGATAGTCGTTATCGGAAATGATTACAAATAAACTACGGTATCTTCTTGAAACATCAGTTCACGCAAAGGGGCAAAATCGGCATACATGACAATTAAAAACTAAATTTATCTTTTTCTAAAATAATGCAAGTAAAGAATTTTAGAATCTAAAAGCGTCCACGTTCCTTACTTTATATGCACCAGAAAACAATATATTATAATTCATACTCTTCCTTTTAAGATATAAAATTAGGTCTAAAAGTTTGTATTTATTTGTGGAAATAGTTTTTTCGCCACAGATTTGAACCAGTCCATAAAACGTAAAGGTACTAATAATGCTAAAATATACATTAAAGGCATAAAATACAAAATCTTCAAATAACGAAATCAAAATGTACCGAAGAGCAAGGAAAGAAGAGGCCAGTCGCGACCACGTACGTCGACGAGTGAAACTGAAGGTAATATAGCAAAAAGTATCCTTCATGACCTGGAAGATAATGCTATACACAATAATGAACTTGCAGAAAATGGTCGTGATATCACAGCAATAATGAGAGTGCGCAAAATGTTTTATCCTCAAGATGGGTTAAAATTCAGCATCCACTGCAGTGTTTTTTATTTTACTTCAGTTCATTCAGATTATTTTAACTGGTCTTAATTTGACTTGAAGAGATGCTAAAATGCAAAACATTGGTAAATAACTGCCTGGGTTTGAAAATACTCTCATTATTCATTTTGAAACAATTAAAATACTTGCAATCAATGTAAAAACTAAGCGGAGGTCAATGGAGAGGGTAATTAATGTGTAGGTCAATCAATGAAGAGGCTAATCGTTCAGATATTGGCAGTGCAATTCATACAAGAGTATGATACTTATCTGTCTGTAAGAGATCCTGAATCTCTCAAGTTACGCCATATGATTGACATGCGTAAACCAAGTTTGCGTCAATTGTTTGAAATTATACACAACGTACGATTATTAAAAATATTTTTCCATTAATATCCATTCAAATCAGCAACTTTTATATCCCTTTTAGAATTCAAAACTTCGGGCCATATTACAATTGAATACGTGTTTTTTCGTTCTCCACCGTATTGTTTACAGTTACTAAATTGCTTTCTTCCATTCCCATAAACCCATGTTCTTGCTGCATTCCATTTCTGTCATTTTCACCACATTCCATACCATCCTCATCCCGGACGCTGCTTGTATTTCCCTCATTTCCTCAAACGTTCCCCTGCCCCCGCCGAAGCGGCTGTCTGCCACTTGCGTTATCGCGATCACCCCCTCCCACGCCCACCGGGTTGCGAGCACAGGCATCGACCGCGCAGGCAGCGCGGGGTGATGTATGGACAACGGAGCGACCGACGCGCGCCGGCATCGGAAATAGGACGTCCAGCGGGGAAGCGACTAAATCCGACGCCGCGCCGCCCGAGCCCTCTGTGAATCGCACCATATCATAACCCACTTCCCCGACGCGCGCACCCCCGCCCGCATCGCTTCCCGTCGCTGCTACACTCCTGCCTCGCGCCGCGCACATCGGCTCGCCCGCCCCCGCCAAACACTATAGCCCGCCCCGCTGCCCGTTCAGGCTCTTGCCATTTGCCCGCCTCCACCCGCCCCCACCTCTTGCTACTTTCGCAGCCCCCGTCGTCATTCATTTACCTAGCCCTCTCGCCACCCGGATATTTACGCGCTTGTCAGTCCGGCCGCTCCACTCTCACTCTCGACTCTCACTCCACTCCTCCACCCACCATCTCCCACACCCACTCTCCCACTACCCACTCTCCCACACCCTCTCCCACACCCACTCTCCCACACCCCCATCTCCCACACCAGTCTCTCCACACCCACTCTCCCACACCCTCTCTCCACCCCACTGCTCCCACACCGACTCCGCACACAGCTCTCGCCACTCCCTCTTCCTCACAGGCCCCACACCGTTCTTCTCACTGTCCTCACTCCCAACACTCTCCCCTCTCCCACCCCACTCTCCCACTCCCACTCTCCACTCCCACTCTCCACTCCCCACTCTCCACTCCTCCACTCTCCTCCAACCTCACTCTCCCTACTCTCGCCTCACTCTCCCACTCTCCACTCCCACTCTCCCACTGCCCCACTTCCACTCCCCCACTCCCACTTCTCCCCTCCCCTCTCACACTCCCACGCGTCCCCACTCCTCCTCAGCCCCACTCCCCACTTACACTCCCACACTCCCCACTCTCCTCTTTCCCAATCCCCCACTCTGCCACTCTCCTCCACTCTTCCTCCCACTCTTCGGCTCTCATACCTCCCACCTCCACACCTCACACAATCCCTGGGCCCGATCGCCTCTCCCTTCACACTTTTACGTGCTGGTGTGGTTGCACGGTGGCTTGCGATCTCTTCTCAGTGGATGCCCTATCCAATCAATTCCTCACTGTGATATACCATTTCAAAACACCCATAAAGTTTCATTTTACAGTTGCGCTATCTTATCCCCCAATAGTCTTAATTCAGGTATGTTCGCAGCTCAGCCTCCGCTCCGTTTGGCCGATTGTCAGGTTCGCGTCGTTCACGAAATTGTCTTCAACACATCAGACGCAACCACCACACACGGCGCGCGCACAAACACATCGCACGTCCTCACTTAACTCGTGTCCTTCGGTCAGAACCGCATTCCCCCCCCCACCGGGAAAATCCTTCCTGCGAGCCAAACGAGTCCCACCCTGCTGCCACATGAGAATTGCCTCACATACCCACCCACAC